CTCCATAAGCTACACTGGTCAGGTCACGTTTCGTATGCCAGAGAGCAGTCTTCGTCAAGCCGTGCGTCGGGTATGGACGACCCGGGGGCGGTCAGTACTTGGGTTCGCAACGAAGATAACTCAGTAACGTTGCCAACTGATTACTACTTGGATGGGACTAGACAAACAAACGGTGACCAATGACGACCCGCATTTTCGTTGTGTGACTCCCTCCCTCCTTACACCTTTAGAGAACAAGGACTACTTAGCGTAAACGAAATGAATGGCTCATCGAATCCAACGCGTGGATCGCCCTATCCTAGTCGAAGCAAGATGTGGCGGCTCGAAGCGCACAGCTTGAGGATAACAAAAAAGCCATTTTGAAAAATCTGAACCGTACGTTAGATGCAAAACGAAAAATCAGAGGACACTACTTACTTTAGCCAGGCTGGCAGTGAAAAGGACACACTCGTACAAATTAGCCATAGTTGAGAGGAATACGTCTACATGGGGTCGTTTGAGTACATACACACGATGTGTAACACCGTCGATCTCCACACCAACTTTGAAGTCAGCTTGTTCGACCATCTGAAAAGTGAGGAGAGGTGCGAATGTGCATGAATGTACGGATATTCCAGATCAGTAAAAGGAGTCATGGGTGATGTTTTTCAGAGTTAAAGGGGGTAGCTAATAAAATAGCCATAGAGGGAAGACATCGTTGACTGTCTTTAGAGAATTCGTCAAGTTACGGAATGTCTTGTGCATTGGTGAATTACCAGTAAGGCGGCGCATGAATTTCAAACACAAATGTGGCCCAAATTACAAGCATGTAGAACGGCTAGTTCCCTGAGTGGAATTCTGGCTGGTGAAACAGAGAATAATGCTGGTCCTAGAAAATACATCCCTGATGATTTAGCAATATTTAGATAAGGGTTAAAGGAATCTCAGGAAGAAGGATGTAACCTTCCAATCCTTCCGAACAGGCGGTAACAAACTCCAAAATGGGTGAAANAGGCGGCGCATGAATTTCAAACACAAATGTGGCCCAAATGACAAGCATGTAGAACGGCTAGTTCCCTGAGTGGAATTCTGGCTGGTGAAACAGAGAATAATGCTGGTCCTAGAAAATACATCCCTGATGATTTAGCAATATTTAGATAAGGGTTAAAGGAATCTCAGGAAGAAGGATGTAACCTTCCAATCCTTCCGAACAGGCGGTAGCAAACTCCAAAATGGGTGAAATTAGAAGAGATTGGTGGACTAGCTTGGTGCGTGGTCATCTTAGCGCGTGCCGGTCATTGGGCTTGAAAGCAGATGATTAACTTGTTTACGTACAAATTAGATGCCAAATTTTGAAGGTGTGTTAGCAACTTTGATGAGATTTGAGATAGAATGACAAGGCGAGTGAAGGCGCAATCGCTACTCGAAGGATCCTCATGTAGAAAACGAAGGATAGTGATGAAAGCGTCGCATCCTGGACAGCACCTGAGTAAACAAGTCGCACGCTCACTTTAACTTGACGTCTGATAACTCTTCGCAGCGGGTTATGTTCGGGACCGGTTGGGATATTTCTTCGAATGCCACCGTTCGGTCTGATATCCAGTGCTTGGGTGCACCTGGTTGGGTCGTGCCACAGGCGAAATTCCTAGCTCTATGCAAAGAGGTGGCAATCTCGTCCCAGTATGAGTTCACATCTGATGGTGGAGCATTTGGAAGAGACTCTAGAAGACGATTCTTGTAAGTTCGTCTGACATCCGGATCTGCCAGTCTTTCAGTTGCCATGCGATTTGTCCGCACCTTACGCGACCCCGGGAAACGTAGGGAGAAGCGACTCCGGACGAGCGCGTGGTCAGAGTCCACAAATATGTTCCAAAACGACCAGCAGTCAGTTATGGACCCACGCCATCGGTAACTGATGACAATGTGGTCGATTTGAGTTTGTGGTCGGCTATTTCGGAAGTTCGTACTGCATAAAACAGCCTGCGATCAGCACACAGCTGAAGCAATCGTTCCCCATTGTCCGTAGGTACCGAGTCCAGTCCATGTCGACCTCCTAATTGAGTCTCAGATGCACTAAGCCTGCTCACTTGCGCATTCATATCTCAGGCAATCACTACAATCTCTGAGCTTTTAGCCCGCCGCAGCAGGGCTACAGTCGGTTGGGGTGTGGGCAGACACGATAAACAGACATTTATCAACTTGCCGCTTGTGAGACTCCTTCACAGACGTTGCCAGACGGAACGCAGAGAGGCGACTATCAACAGGTATCCACTCAAGTAAGGATACTTCCGTCCGGTGACTTAGCACAATACCAACCCCTGCACATCCCACCGCAGCAGCCTCTGGATCACCAGAGGTGCGCAGCCGGAAGCGTCACACCACGGTAAGGTCCAGTCTCTTCGTAAGATGGCGAATTTACTGATCGGAAGGTCTGTGGTTCGAATCCGATCTCTATCTCTCGACTTCCCTTGTCTAGGTTTGGGCAACCTGGCAGTATCCCAGCCCTCGTGCTTCCTTCTGGTGGCATGGCAGTGAGGCACCGAAAGTGTGCTACAGCTGAACGATTTTTCCTGTGATAAAGGTCGTTATGGTAGCTGACCGTCGTGGCGTTATAGAAAGGCGCCAGAGTTCCCCAGATTTGTGGTGATTTCAAAATACTCCTAAAGCTCGAACTGAGATGATCCTGAAGCCAGACAACCTCTTTGAAGATGTTAGAGAAACTAAAACTTTTTCCCTAAAGTTGACCTCGCTAATCCTCACATATGAATTCCATTAGACGAGGATTTAAAACCGTTAACGATAAACACACCGTGGGATCACAACAGTTCAGCATTCTTTCATTTGACCCACATGTCGCCAAATGTATTCAGTGGGTGAAGTAACAGACAGAACCACAGTAGTGCTGTAGAACGAGACCGGCAACCAATACTGCCCCTAAGGCACCCTACGTGCACAAGAACTAGATTCATGGTTTCTTCTGGCTCTGGTATTGATTGGCTCGAACCAAACAATGCGTCCAAGTCCCATTTATTGCTCGGGTTACTTCAACACTCTTTTCGAGGTACTTCTGACTTTACCTCTAAAACCCAATACCTCCAAACATCGGATTCCCGGTGCTTTTCACTTGAACACGGACAATTCCCACACGCCTCGACATGGGGAATCCTAAGATATCCGAAGCTCAAGCCTGCCTATCTGGTTATCAAACATGTGACTGATGAATACCCAGTCTGGGTTTGGAGCTCATATGCGTGTCAAGAATTCATAGCTCTGTGGTTTAGCCGCGAACTTACTGACAGGAGGTCTGCGGTTTGAACCCAACCCACGCATCCCAAATACCCTTGTTTTGGCTTGGAAATCCTGGCAGTATCTCAGCCCTCGTGCTACCTTCGGGTGGTATGGCAGCTGGGCACCAAAGGTGTCATAGCTGAACGACGAATTCAGTGGAACTCGAAAACTCACAAACTCAAGATGATGCAGTGGCCGTATTTTGGGCAATCATAAGATTTATAAATCACTTTATGGCGATGAATTCAAAACCGTTGCGCAACACCTGCATGCCTTGTAGTTTCTAAATGACATCCAGATGTTAGTTGCCGGATTACGGCTGCGGTAATTCAGAGATGGGCGTTCATATGTGCCGTGCCTGACAACGAAATCGTGCAACAGCCTGGAAAAAATCAATCATGCAGATTTCCTGTCACGCTACTCAGCGTTCAGTCGGCCTACTCAACTGCCACTCTCAACAGAACCGCGCCCCTTCGCGCGCAGAGGTTGTGTAGACCAGTAAACAGTATCACAATGTGTTGATTAAATTAAAGGGGTAATAATATAATAATATTCATTCAGCTGTAGCACCCTTTCGGTGCCTAAATGCCATGCCACCAGAAGGAAGCACGAGGGCTGAGATACTGCGAGGTCGCCCAAGCTTAGACAGGAGAAGTCGAGAGGCAGAGGTCTGGTTCGAATCATGGACCTTCAGTAAATTCGCGATCTAACCACTGAACCGTCTCGCACGATGGCCTAGACAGAAGTAGTCGAGATGACAAGGTTGGGTTCGAACCCCGAATCTGCCAGTCACTAATTTCTCACCTTAATCACTGAGTTATTTCGAACAAGTTGAAGTTTCACGATAAAAACCGATGGTCTCATTAATATAGTTCGTTTGGGCATTTTCAAGTGTCCCTACAGATTTGAAACAAGTACACTTAAATTAAGACAAACGCTGATTGAATGTGTGCATCCGCATAATATTTTGCAATATGACGTGCGAAACGTTAAGGTCAAAGCATCGTCTCAGATGTTCCAGGCGGGGACTTCCAACAACAGTGGGACAGTCTACCTGAAAATAAACTGCTGCTCAAGGAAAAACCTCCAGAGTTGGGATCCCCCTCAAAAGTGGTTCACTTCCGAGCCGGCAACACCGAAATTAACGTGTATATTTCTCCAAAAAAAGTCATCTGTGAGTTTAAGGACTCAAATTAAAGGGGCGATGACTGTATAACGCTTAACGAAGGTTCTTAGAAGTCTATAAGGGACGAACGGATATGCAGTATGATGGGTAACCAGGTGTCCCCTAATCTACTATATTTCGCACTGATTTGATATACGTCTGGACCACATAGATACCATGTTGCAAGCCTGAAATGAGCGTGCCACTAAGAGACTTCTTTTGAATGAATTAAAACCAAACGTAGAAAACAGATCTCATGGAGGGAATCTACATAAAGATAGCGACCTGTGCCTAGGTCGCCGATTCGACGTAGCTCAGAGGCGAAATTACTAAGCGGAATATCACTGGTTCGAACCCAGCCCCAGAATCTCAACTTCCATGTTATTGGTCTACTCCGGTAATCGAGAAATACGATCCAGTACCACTGCCGGTGAACAGATTATCATACTCTTCTTATCCCCTTCCTGAGGATGCATACTGCGTTGTAGCATGTCGGAGCACAGGCCGCTCACAAGTGACGGCCGAAAACGTTTTGATGAGATCCCCTAGTGAGGACCTACGTGTTAACCGTGCAAGCGAATCGATAGCGAGCGAATTTCGGCACACAACTGTTAAACAAGCACGTGAAAAATTTAAAAAAATGAAAGTAAATTACAATTAAGAAAATTAAAATAGAACCAAAAAAGACAGCGAACAAACAGTAATACACACACATAAAAAGACTTCCGGAAATGATACGACGATGGATGAATCGTTATCATCATCATTATCAGCACCACCAGATGAGAACACTGGTTTTTCACTGCCACACAACCACAAGTGATTTGAAAAAAGATATAATCAAAAGAAAAAAATGGGACAGGATCTAGAACTACCCTAGAACGAACATCCGGAGTGAGCACATCTCCAACACTCAGATAACCTGGATAGATACCAACAGCATGAAGGTCAGTGACATCGGTTAGCCGTCCAGTGCCTCCAGACAAGCGCAAGGAGGGTCATGTGAACTCCATGCTGGAAGGAGAACATCACCAGCAGCGCCCAAACTTTCCGTAACATCCTAATTCCCCATCTGCAATGTCATTCCGAATTCGCTGATTTCAGTCGAGTCTGGGTAAAATTCCGAGACATTGTTGGTCAAATATCTTAAGGTGTTTCAGATCCACGACCCGATGTTACCAAGCCATAGCACAATGCAGTCCGTCTGACACGCGCGTCCTTTGGGACCCAGTGACATGTCTTTTTGACCTCACAAACGGCACAAATTGGTAGAGAGCATTCTGGCCATTGGAATTCCCGGGCTCACTTCGTTTGTCACACAAACATAAGAGTTAATGCAACTTCTGATATAATTACGGCATTCCCCAAGTTCGAATGTCACTCACTGAATTTTTAAGACATTTTTGAAGACTGTATGTCCTATAGCACGACCTTGCTCTTTATGGGTGCGAAGCACACGCCGAAGGACTGGATAAACTCGGTTAGATTTTCAAGTTATGCTTGTGCCTCCAGCTCTTTCAGAGATAAGAACAGTTCCGTCTGCATATTTCGCGTCATAAGTTTCACCTGAGGAAGGTCCGACACCGGGGTTCCAGAGACCTTCGAGTGTTCGTCTCATCATCAAATCAACAACGAAAATGATCAGAAACAATGTAGACCAACAATGAAGGAACTGTGGAAACAAGTAGCAATGGAACCAGCGACCCCACCATATAAGGTTGCCGGAAGAGGGAAAGCCTTCATAAAAACACCATCGTTCCAAGCCACAAAAATCAACTCCCCAGTAGTAAGACATAGTACTACTGCATTGAAAAAGCCACCGTTCTGAAAACATCGGCTCAAAGGGTACCACAGACTTTTGTTTGTGGTGCATTTAACCCACCTTCACAGAAATCATCCGGGGATTTTACCATGCTGCAGTAAAATAACGGCGTCTGGTGAAATGAAATTGTGGTGTCCTAACTAACACCCTAACTTAGTTGTACAGACACACCTTTCCAAACCTACCAAGTGTCCTTCGATAGATGTGTGCGAACCCACCCATACTGTCAGTAGCACCAGAAAGGGCTTTTTGCGCTCATTGACGGTGACCCCTATGAGGTGCCGAGTTAAGAAAGCAACAAATCTGTAATATTAGCATGATCCGACAGTTGCCACATTGAGAACGAGGCAGATGGTAGCGCAAAATAGACATTTTTGACTGGTGAAATTCTCTAATCGGGTAAATACTCGTAACTGATGGGTAAAATGTCCGGAATTCCAAGAACAAAGGCTGATGAGTTGA